ATATATATATATATATATATATAAAAGTGAATAGCAGATCATGCAATGCTATCTATATATCATGCTATCTTCCAAAACCCCAACAACCAAAAATAAATAAGAACAAGCCCACAATCTTATCTTACTATCAATGGCAACAAACACATCCTGCCATGTAGTCAAGGACCCACCTTCTCCCTTCATAAAAATTACCTTTGCCATTTAAAACTTACCAACAAAACATGAAAAGAAACAAAAGAAGAAGTTTTCTCAGTCAATGGCAACTAAACGTTTACTTTAATTGAAAACCTACCTTTTGCTTCAAGCTAAGAAGAAGAAGAAGAAGAATTTGATTATGAACAAAGAGACTAACAAGCAAAGCTATGGAGGAGAATGCAAAAGAAGTGAACCCCAGAAATCAACAACTATGAAGAGAATTAATTTAAATAGTATTTTTTAAAAAAATTAATTTTTTTTTTCAGAGCATTGCATGATCTGCTATTCACTTATATATATATATATATGCTATCTTCCAAAACCCTAACAACCAAAAATAAATAAGAAAAAAACAAGCCCACAATCTTATCTTGCTATCAAAGGCAACAAACACATCCTGCTATGTAGTCAAGGACCCACCTTCTCCCTTCAATTCAGAAAGAACAACGAGATGATGAGACAAACCAAAAGCTCTCTCTTTCACAACCACAAATCAAAACCATCCAAAGCCCTAAAATCTCAACCCGCTGATCAAAAACAAGAATATGATTTTGAATAGAATGCCAGCATTACAGCCTCCATGTATATACTTGTAGAGAATCACGTAAAACAAGTAAGAGCATATGTAAGCATATCAATACCCATATAATTTAATTTTTTTTATTAAAAAATATATTAATAATACTTAAATATTATTTTACATTAATTTTTTTTTGATATGATATATAATATAACTATTAGAGAATAATATAAATCATATCTTGAAATCTCATCTAATAGCTTAAGTTATTGGGTTGATATGGTTCTTTAAGATGGTATTAGAATTTTGATGATCAAGTGGTCACGAGTTTGAATCTCACCATTTATATTTATTTAATAAAAATTAAATACAAGGTAATGTGAACCTGTATAAGTTTCAAGCTCAAAAAACTTTCACTTAAGAGGATGTATTAAAAAATAATATAAATCATATCGTGAAGTCTCATCTAACAACTTGAGCTAGACAATTATCCTTGCTAAAAATAATGTTTAATATATAAACATAATCAAGGAAACTAGACTTGTAATCTACATGTATAAGAACTAGTTCAAGGATAATACTATCATGGGACAAAAGGCTAAAGATACTCTTTTCACACAAGGAACATGATAAAGTCAAAGAAAAACCGTCGTGAGTTCTTAGGCTTTTTTCATGAATGTTTACGGATTGGGTTTGTAGATTGGTGTTGCCTCCAAGATAAATTCATGGATGCTTCAATTAGTTTTTGAATTTGGTTGCTTAAACATGTAAAAAATCAAGAGAAAAAGGTGTGTTGTGTTTTTTAGATATTAGTGTTCTATCCAAAACCAATAGATCTTCTTTGCATGAAAAATACTAACTTACCTACTGAAAGGCTAACCTGTTAGCTTTCTTGGTGGGATCACATACTAACTGTTGAAGGAGTCACAACCACTTATAATTTTTCATAAAAAAATTAAGAATGATTGTTTGATAATTAGTTATTAATAAAAATAACCTAATATGCATGGGTGGGGAATTCATGGTTCGAAATGCATATGGATGGATTATTTATAATTCTTTTTTTTCTTTTTTTTTTTAATTTGGCTTTTATTAAACTAAATTATAAGTTAATTTATTGAGGGAGGTGGGATTTAAAGATAAGGGACAAGAAAAAAAAAACATAAGGAATAAAAGGCTCTAAGAAGTTTAGGCAAAATATTTATTATGGTCCTTGTACTTTATAAATTATAAATATTATATCTCTTTGGTTTCCAAAATTAAAGGGAAAATTTAATTTTAGTCTCAAACTTCATATTTTTTATGTTTCAACTCCTAATGTGAGATGGATGAAAGAAAGCCATCAAAATCCAGTGTTAGAGAAAAAATATATATTTTTACACCTATTTCAATACTAAAACAATTGAAATTTGTGTCAAATTATTTTTTTTGATGAGGCGAGCTTGTATTAAGGTTTTTTTACCTTCAAATTGGTAAACAAAAACAAATCTAATTTTAGCAAGATTTTTTATTTCAAGTTAATTTTAGGTTTTGAGATGGTTTTTTAAGACCATGAATGAGTTTATCATACTATCTATGATGTTTTTGGTTAAAAAATAAGTTAAAAATCTAGTTTTTTAATAAAAAAAACTATTAACCCTATTTTTTCAATCACCACCATTGTCGGGAACTAGACAATATACACAACATGTTGTCTAAATGTTTTTTTTTATAAAAACAATTAAGGTAGATGATATGCTATCAAAACATAAAAAGGTATAGTCTTATGGATCGTAATGAAATGGACCAGGCCCAACAACATCTATCCTTTAAAAAAAATTATTTTTTAAATTAATGTTTTTTTATGTTTTTTTTCTTTTCTTTTTTCTTTTTTTATTTATTAACACACTATGTGTATCAATTTATTTGATTACATGTATATATAAACCTTTCTATTTTTGCTCAGAGTTTTTTAACTATAAAAATATGTATATATAATTTTTAAAAAAAAATATTTGACATGCATCAAAACGCTGATGAAGTATATAGTATTATACTATAATGCTCAACCTATAACTCAAAAGGACTGGATTAACTAGCCCTCTATTTTTACAAGGCTGTGATATTAATACAAAATATTCTTTTTACCTTTGTTTATTATAAAGAAAACTAAATGAGGTATTGATTTTACTATAGCACTAGACACAAACTATTGTGAATTGAGACAATAAAATTTATATGGGTATGTTGTATAATTAAGAGGAAAATGAATATTTTTTTATTTTTTTATTAAAAAACTACTGGTGCATGTTTCACACGTTCCATTAAAGTAGGGAGCACTTGCGCCATTAAAGAGGCATTTCAAACGCTTCTCGGTGTCTAGATTTGGTGATCTGCCATATAAATAGATACGCAGGCGTGCCCTTTTTCAGATGGTGTAACGCATGTAAATATATCATGGTTGGATTGTCACGGGTGATCGATTGATTGTTTTTTTCTTTTCTCTCTCTTAACAATTCAAGTGTACAATTATCCTTTGTTTTTTTGTTATTTGTTTGGATTTAACATGAGTTGTCAGACCTAAACACCTTGGATATGACAAATAAGCTAAACTCAAGCTATTTCGGTGTGACTACTGATTAGTACTTAAAAGTGCATTTTTATCATGGTTTTATATCATCATTTTGCACTTGAAGTATCAATAACTCCTTAACTAAAATATGTTTTATAAGAATGTATCTAATAATATAAGATACCTATAAATTGTGGTAAATGTCTATTTTTAATGCAGGCCTATCACATAAATGAAAGGATTGATTGATGACTTGAAGAACTTAAATTGCATGGATAAAGAGATGGTCAAACTTAGAGAAGAGATGTCGGTGCAATCCAAACCGGAACACTGTTCGGTAATTGGGCCATATCTGGAGCTACAGATCTCAGATTTAGGTCCAATTTATATGGATGGAAAGGTAAGACATAGGCCTACAACTTTCATATGGAGCCCAAGATCTAAAAAGGCCATTATCAAGTCCAAATTGTAGCAACAACAAAGAAGCCCGAATCTGTCTTCCAGCCCGAGCACTATTCGGTATTTTGGCCATATCTGGAGTTCTAGAAGTCCAAATGAGCTGAAATTTTTACACAAGA